CATGGCCCTGTATTCTGCTTCAGCAGAAGACCGAGCAACAACCGATTGTTTCTTGCTTCTCCAAGAAACAACATTACTAGCCACCAAGCTGCAATACCCAGAAATAGATCTTCTGTCATCAATGTTTTCGGCCCAGTCAGCATCGGTGTAGGCTTCAAGCTTCATATGACCATGCTTGGCAAACAGAATACCCTTTCCTAGGAAGCTCTTCAAATAACATAGGATTCTCTCTATTGCTACCATATGAGTGTCTCGGGGAGCATGCATGAATTGGCTAATGCAACTGATTGCATATGGTATATCTAGCCGAGTCATGAATAGGTACAAAAGTTTCCCAAGAAGTCTCTGAAAGATTCCTTTGTCTTCTAACAATGTCCCTTCTGAGGCTGAGAGTTTATGACTCGTATCAATAAGAGTAGCAACTGGTCTAGCACCCGCCTTTCCAGTTTCAGAGAGCAAGTCAAGAACATACTTCCTTTGGGAGATAARAATCCCATCCTTGGATCGAGCCACTTCTATGCCAAGAAAGTATCTCAATTCCCCCAAATCTTTAATCTCAAATTCTGTATGGAGAAAAGATTTTAGATCATGAATTCCTRAARCATCATTACCAGTCACTACAATATCATCTACATACACAATGAGGTATACTGCCAGAGGTCCACTCCTCTTCACAAAAAGAGTGATCGGACTGTATCTGCACATAATCAAAGTTAACAAGTGCTGTTGTAAATCTCTGAAACCATGCTCTAGGGGACTGTTTTAGTCCATAAAGAGATTTCTTTAGCCTGCATACCTTCCCTTTCATATCAGTTCCATACATCCCTGGAGGAAGAGACATATAAACCTCCTCATGTAATTCACCATTCAGAAATGCATTCTTCACATCCAATTGATMAAGRRGCCRGTCAAAGTGAGCAGCTAAAGATAGAAGAACCCTCACATGTCATCTTGGCAACAGGTGCAAAGGTCTCTAAATAATCAATCCCATATGTCTGTGTATAGCCTTTTGCAACCAGCCCGGCCTTGTACCTTTCAATGGTGCCATCAGCTCGGTATTTGATAGTAAAGACCCACTTGCAACCGACTGGATCCTTCCCTTCAGGCAAATCCACCACTTCCCATGTGTCATTCTTGTGTAAGGCATCGATTTCAAATCTCATAGCATCCCTCCATTCGGGAATCTTAAGAGCTTTTGACACAGACCTAGAAATAGGATGAGAAGCAACATAAGAGAGATAGGCAAAGTATGAAGGTGAAAGCAAATTGTAAGAAAGGTGCTTGGAAATGCAGTGTGCAATGCACTTCCGTTTTCCTTTCCTAACAGCAATGGGAATATCAATGTTAGGGAAGGATGACTCCAAAGGTGCTGAAACAATACCTGTTGTCTCTTCTGTGACTGGAAGTGTATGAGGCTCATGTGTTGTAGGAGAAACAACCTGCACATTTCTGGATCTTTGCCTTTGATACACCTTGGGATTGAGGATAGGACGAGGAGGTAGAGTACTGGAACAAGGAGAATGGAACGACTGATCCACCCTTGATACATTTGAAGGAGAAGCAGACACATCAAGAGACTCAATAGGGACAGGAAGAGGAAGAGCAAACACCTGAGACAAATCCTCCCCCTGTGGACAATGTCCTTCTGGAGAGGAACCATAAAAGGGGGAAAGCTCATCAAAGGTGACATCCATTGAGACATACCGATTGCCAGACTATGGATCAAAACAACAATAACCCTTTTGTGTGGAGGAATAACCAAGGAAGATATACTTTTGAGCTTTGGGTTCAAATTTATGCCTTTGCACACTTGGAACATGTACATAACAGGTGCAGCCAAAGACACGAATAGGAACAGGAAAAATGTCCTTGTCCGGATGAAGAAGATTGAAGGGAGACTGAAACCCCAAAACCCTGGATGGCATACGGTTTATAAGGTAGGTAGCAGTAAGAACAGCATCACCCCAAAACCTGGTAGGAACATGTGAGGCAAATAAGATACTTCTTGCAACTTCAACAATATGCATATTTTTCCTCTCAGCAACCCCATTCTGTTCTGGGGTCCTAGCACATGAGCTTTTATGAATAACCCCCATGTCAGAGAGATAGCAGGTTAGGTTTTTCTCAAAGTATTATTTTGCATTGTCAGATCTGAAGATTTTAATCCTGGTATCAAACTAGGTTAGAACAAATTCATTGAATTGTCTTACAAGTCTTTGAACTTCATCACGGGATTTCATCAGGACTATCCAAGTGAACCGAGAAAAGTCATCAATAAATAGGATAAAATATTTGTAGCCACCCATGGAGGGTAAGTGGTAAGGCCCCCACACATCAGAATGCACAATATTAAAAGGAAAAGAAGATCTTTTATTGCTCAAAGCATAATTGTTTCTACAATGCTTTGACAATTCACAAGACTCACAATGAAGACTGGACAAACTAATTCCCTTAAACAGTTCAGGGAAAAGATGACTCAAGGCAGAAAAAAACAGATGACCAAAACGACGATGACACAACATAATCCGACTAACAGACTCTAAAGAGACAAATCCGAGAGCAACATTCCCAAGATGATCAGTGCATTGTCCCGGAGTATCACAGACAACAGATTTGTATTTAGTTTAGGTACATGGAGGGCATAAGGTAGGAACA